CCTTAAAAACAAATAATTAAACTTATTAAATTACCTTGACTAATACCCAAGAAACATATAATGCGATTACTATAATTAAAATGTAAATGTATTTTTAAATCATAAATGAATGTGCTTAATTTATCATCATCACATTTAAATATACTTATATTAGTTAATTTTTTACAAACAGCATAATTAGTTGCTTTTGACCAAGTTACTTTTATGATAGATCCAAAACCGCCTTCATCAAGTGGTTTTAAATCAATTAACTCATCAAAATGTATGACTTTTACTTTATTATTTAACTTGTTATTGATTAATTTAAACAAATTTCTATTAACTTCATTTTTATAAAATTTAAATAAATTAGTGAAATAAGAAACACATAAAAAAATTTAATTATTAATACTTTAAACATACTTTTAATCGGTTTATTAATACAATTCATTTTTGAAAATTCTTCCAAGATTTCTGTAATAGATGCTCTTTATTTAGGTTCTTGATTCTAACATTTTTATAAAGTTTTTTATAATCCTTAGGAGTATCTAATATAGCTTTTTTACAAGCTTTATTACTAATAATAGCATAAATAGTTGCATCATTAAGATCTTTAAATGGAGGATATCCACTAGAAATTTTCCACATTAATATACCATAACTATAAATATCTGAAGGCTTAATATACTGAAAATTGTAATTGCAAAGTATTTGTGACTTTATATAAGCAATTTTACTAAAAGATCCAATATGTATTATAGAATTATTTCCAATTTTTGAAATATCAAAGTCAGTAATTTTAGCAATATTATTATGAATAAATATATTCTTAGAATGCTAAATTAGATTATATAATTTAAAATAAAATTTTGAAACATATTTAAAAGTGATAAATATAACAAGAATAAACTTATAAGATCTCTATGTAAAACTTCTTCATTATGCAAATAGTTTATTCTATTTGCAATTTGTATTGCTAAAGTTTTCTTATCATACTAAGTTAAATTATTAAAATTATTTTTAAGATAATTTTGAAGATTACTACCATTAGCATATTACATTAATAAAAAGATATTCATTTGTATTTGGATCTACAAATTAGTAAATTAATAAGCAATTATTTGTTTTTAAGGAATTTTCAATTACTAATTTAAAACTTATTTATAGATCTAAACTCAAATGAACTTTATTCTGTAATGGAATATGCAAATGGTGGTAATCTTCAAAGTTACCTTGAGAATAATTTTGAA